CATTAGCTGCCTTGTCACGTGAACGCGGGCGAGGTATCTTTTAGTCTTGTCTTTTCTAATCAAACAAAAAAACTTACAACGGTCAATGAAGTGCTGATTGACGTGCGTCGCATGGGGGTCGAGGATAAGGAGCTTTCCGCCGAACTCAAGGTGCTTTCGCATATGGTCGACGAACCCTACTGCCATGTCCAAGTCGATCCAGCCGTTCTCTTGCAGTGACATTGATTCCCCCTCCTCGCAAATGACAGTGAAGTTTCTCGCTGAAGCGCGACCCCTTGAAGATGTAGTACCCTGGCAGTCGAGACCCGTCCGCACATACTGTCTCCATGTGATGTGCCTTCGATAGCTCGCCCCTCGTCTGTACACCCGTTTTGCCCCCTTCAAACACACCACCTTGAACCCTCCGTCCGTCATAGCTGCCACAAAGCTCGTCTTGTCGCAGTTGTAGATGTCTGAGGGACCCAGGTTGTGCTCCTCGACAACCCGTCTCAGGTTGACAAAGAAGCTGTTGAGTGCTTCCACAACGTCATTGCTCTACCTTTGTCCAGCGTCTGCATGTTGCGTTCTGCCAGCTGAGGCCTTTTTTTAGAAATAGGTTCCACCATTTCCTGCCAGGCATCCCTTCTCGGAAAGGATGATCAGCCCTTGAAGTGTCCACCATCTCCTTGTCTTTAAGCCCCATTTCGGCCTTCGACACCCCTAACCCCTTGTCCGCCATATATTTCCACAACCCACGCCACAAATCTTCGCTACACGTGCTTTGGCAATACAGTCCGCCCACCCTTTTTCACCTCCCCGGCCTCCCCTCCCCTCATCCTTTCCAACCGCCTTCTCAAGGTTGAAAATGGCACGTTGTTGTCCTTTGCTGCCCGCTGCAAAGACTTGATCTTGCTCCCCGCTTCGGGAACCGCCTTTTCCATGTCTTCCATCGCCCAATTCTTCTCCTTCTGCATCCGCATTGTGCCATTCCCCCTCTTTATGTGGACGGCTGCTCGTGGACCCCGTTTCTTCTTTTCTTCGCCTGACACTCCGCTGTGTCGCCATTCTGTTGCAAGCCCCATGCCTTCTCGCCACCCTCGCTCTGTCCTTGGTCCCGATCCCACAACCATCTTCACTTTTGCCGCAGCAGACTCCTCGCCGCCTTGGTCTGGCGCGTGCAGGGATCCGCTGAACCGGAGGCGGTTGGCTCGCTGCGGCACTAGATCTGGTGAGTAGACTACGCACTTTGCGCGCGCCTATTATTCCTGGGTTGTTTTTACATGGAAGTGAAGTTGCTACTAAATAAGTGCAGATCTGGGGCCTAGGCTAAAGCACTCTATGGCTTGGCTGGGAATCAAGAACAATCAGGTTGGGGATGGTTCTCCAAGGGGTCCAGGGTGTTGCTGCCAACGGAGAAGCTGGTTTCCGATTCTCGCAGCAAGGTACCTTTGTTTTGTATCCCCTGGGGTTGGTTGGCTATGGAGGGGTGGTTCTACCCCGTCTGATTGCTCTCAACGCCCGCTCAACGCTAGCCACGGTTACTTCGTTGTCCCCTGCTGCTTGAGTTGCTGTCTTTCCATCAACTAGGCACTCGATAACAGAGTGTTGCAAACTCTTGAATCGGACATCACGAACTCGTTCCATGATTACCTAAACGTTTGGGCGTGGGCAGACTGGAATTCAGATCCGCCTTCGTCTTTAAAAGCTAGCTTTTGTCTCTACCGGCAAATCGTGCAGTACGCAACGTGCGCGATTACGATAGAAAGTGCACCTGATTCTATGGATGCACAAGCAAGGAGGGAGAATCCTTGGCTGCTTACATTGGCTGCTTAAATTGGCGTGTGAGAAAGGAGTTTCTGCCTACTCACACCCGTACCTCCGGCAAGCCCGTAAACAAGATTTGATCGTACTTTGCAGGTGCGGTACCACAAGGGGCCCTCGTCGCACAAAAAGCAGATTGTGCACGTGCAATGCTACGTAGACATCATTGCAAATGTAACAACAACTTTAGTTGCTTCTTCGCCAAAGAAGCTTGTCCTTTGGAAACAATCATGTTCAATACTGAACCTCACCTCTATGTACCTATGTGTAAGTCTATCATGACAAATATGGTACGTATGTGCTGCATGCTGCAAGATAGCAAGCAGCCTGCATCCATGTGCTACCATTCTACCAGCAAGGAATTACATATGGAAGATGCTTTGTAACCCCAGTCTCTATTCGTTTGAACACAAATTCCGCATGGAGCAACGCTTGTGATTGTCCTGCATAATTGTTGGATGCCATATTTATGGAGCATGAGCCTAAAGAGGAATGCCTTAAGTTGTGCATTGGCGGGACTTGGACCTAAGACCATTACCACCCTAGATATTGCCATGCAGGCCTGACAGTGGAACGCTGAAGGCATGCCGGTGATTTGCCAACCAAAGGCAACGTGGGAGGACACGTGCTTGCTTGTGAGGGAAGCCGAGAGCCCGGTGTTGTGGCACCGAAGGTTGGGGCATGCCGGCTATGAGAATTTGGCCAAAATGGTCGAGGGCCCCGGGTTGGCCAGGGGTATAAGGGTCAAAGCCAAGGCGTTCCGGGAGCTCGGGAGGAGAAAACTTCGGTGTGCGACCCTTGCATCATGGGGAAGCAAACCCGAGAGCCGTTTCCCAAAGAATCGGACTCGAAGGAGAGTAATGTTGAAATCTCATGCTTGTAACAACATAGGGTCCAAACCACCCTCACATACAAGCGCCTTCACAGAGAAGCGCCTTCCTCTCTTACAAGCATCCCCTAGAACGAATTGGGTTCTTTTGCTATTAGCTCAAGTCAAATAGCCTAGCTCAAGGCTAACTTTTACTAGCAAAAGAACCCATCGAACGGCTCACATCAAGTAAGAACCTAATATCGTACGGTTTCTACTAGCCTAGCTAACTAGCTAGTAACGACGGCCTAAACCAACAATTTGGCCGCCTAAGCCACTATCACTTTCAACAAGTACGGAGCCCCTCGAGCTCGTGAACATGGACGTGTGCGGGCCCATGCCGGTGGCGTCAAAGAGGGGAAGTAGGTACTTGGCCACTTTCCTTGACGACTATAGCAAGCTTTCGGTGGTGCAACCGATAAAGCGAAAAAGCGACGTCACGGCGGTCACGGCGAGCGTGTTTGCCCGCTTGGAGTTGCAATCCGGGAAGAAGGTCAAGGGGGTGCAAACCGGACCGGGGCGGGGAGTATGTCAACGAGGGAATGACGGCCCTCCTCGAGAAGAGAGGGACGGTGCACCACACAACGGCGGGGCACTCTCCCGAACAAAACGGTTTGGCGGAGCGGTTGAACCGGACGCTCGAGGAAAGAGCGCGGGCTTTGCTAGAGGATGCCGGGTTGAAGCCGGAGCTCTGGGCGGAAGCGATGGTGACGGCTAACTACACCCGGAACCGGGTGCCCTCGAGCGTGCACGGCAAGACGCCCTGGGAGATGTTCTACGAGGAGAAGCCGAACCTTAACCACTTGCGGGTATTTGGGGCGCGGGCCTACAATCCACGTGCCCAAGGGAAACTGGAAGAATATGGAGCGGGTTAGCGAGCGAGGGGTGTTCTTGGGGTACGAGCCCAACTCTAAGTCCTACCAAGTCCTCCGAGAGCGGGATGATAGGGTGTTGACTTCCCGCGACGTCATCGTGGACGAGCGTGGGCCCATTCTGATCGTTGCACAACACAACCACGCCATTTTCAGATCGAAGTGGTTCGATACCGGCCTCCTTCAGCGACCGTCAGATTTACAATCGCACGGTCCCGGAGCCCTCGACGGTCCGAGTCAAAACCCTAAGTTTCGATGGCTGAAAGTTCGATTTTCAATAAGCCACTGAAAGTGACCGCCGTGGTTCGGAACTCACGGTCAAATTCACTCTATGATTTTGCATAGGCAAAAACCTCCACCGTGACGGTTTGAGATCCCCACCTGTGAACTTACTGAAAACTTAATACGATGTTAGACTGCTCGTAATAAGGCTAAATTTCCAATTTCCAAATTTATATTACATGCAGAACTGCCTAAACTAGGCCATATCCTAAAACCCTAAAAATCGCCATTCTGGGCCTCTCCGAGTCTACGGGGCTCAAAATCTGCCCGCCGCGCGAAATTCACCGTACGTTGAAACTTGGCGTGGTTGCGTTGTGTGAGCTTGGCTCCGATCCGGAAAAGGAGGATGGGGCTGCTCGCGGCCCTAGTCGGTGAGCCCCCCGACTCGGATGGGTGTAGGGGATACCCCTACGGGGGTGACCGACACTCTGCCCGGTGCAGGGGCTACCCCTACGGGGGAGGCCGGCACCGGGAGCGAGGAGTCCGTTGAAACGGATGGAGAAGAGACGGCGGATCGAAGATACCCCGCTAGAGCGAGGTGGGCGCCCGGGGAGTGGTATCGGGCGAATTTGGCGGCGGAAACGGGGAAGCACCTTAAGGGATTGGGGGAGCATCCGGAAGCCATAGGGGGAGAAGAGAGCGTTTTTCGGCGGAACTCGATGGACGAGGAGATGCGGTCCTTGTTGGAAAATGGGACGTGGGAGCTTGTCGAAAAAACCGGAAGGGGTGAAACCGGCTTCGATGAAGTGGATTTACAAGATCAAGCGGGATGCGCTTGGGAACATGGAGCGGTATAAGTCTCGGGTGATGACGAAAGGGTACTTGCAAAAGCAAGGAATTGACTTCGAGGAAGTCTGCGCCCCGGTGAGCAAGCACACGACTTTGCGAGCGCTCCTAGCGGT